CGATGGGCACGGGCGCCGGCGCGATGGGCACGGGCGCCGCCGGCGCGACGGGCGCGGGCGCCGGGGCCAGCGCGACGGGCGCCGGGACGGGCGCGGCCGGCGCGACGCGCGCGGCCGGCTCGACGCGCGCGGCCGGCGCGACGGGCGCGACGGGAGCGACGGGCGCCGGGACGGGCGCGACGGGCGCCGGGACGGGCGCGACGGGCGCCGCCGGCGCCGCGAGGACCGCGGGCGCCGCCGGCGCCTCCGCGTCGGCCGCGTCGGCCGGCTCCTCCGGCGGCGCCGCGGCCTTGGGCGCGGGCGCGGGCGCGCAGCAGGCGCAGCCGAGCGGGTGGCCGTTGAGGAGGAAGCCGAAGGGCACCTGGGACGCGCCCGGCGCGGGCTCCGGCGGCGGCGGCCGGCCCTCGCGCCTCGCCGCGCGCGCGGCGTCGCGGAGGCCGCGCTTGTAGGACCGCACCGTCGCCTTGAGGGCCCGGGGGATCATGGGCTGGGGCGCGTCGCCGCTCGCCGCCGCCGCGGACCGCCGCGTCTCGCGCGCGGGCGCGCCGGCGTCGTCCGGCGGCCCGACGCCGCCGGGCGGCGCGACGTGGAAGTAGCGGAAGACGGAGTTGGGCCCCGGCGCGTTCGTGTCGTAGGTGCCCACGATGAGGCCGATGAAGGGCGCGAGGCCCAGGGCCTCGTCGTGGAAGAGGGACTGGTAGGACCGCTGGTTCTCGATGTCCGTCACCGACGGCTCGGCGACGAAGCGCGGGTGGCTGTGGTACCAGCCGACGACGTCCATGGCGTGCGTCTTGATGACGTCGCGGACGACGAGCTCGGACACGGGGTCCATCTCCACGTCCGTCGCGCCGTCGTCGTCGCGCGCGACCGCGCGGCACGGGAACGGCGCCTGGACGTGCATCATGCGCTTCTCCGGGTCCCAGCGCCCGCCGAGCAGCCCGATGATCTCCGCGTCGGCGAGGTGGGCGTGGACGTCGCAGAGGAAGGCCACGTCCGGGTGCACGGCGAGGCCGAAGGGCTGCGCGTCGTCCGCGTCGTCGTCGTCGGCCGCCGCGGCCGCCGCGGGCGGCGCGCCGGCCTCGTAGTCCTCGCAGGTCACGAGCGCGTGGGGGTCGAGGCGGTTCTGCGACAGGCCCTCGAGGAGCTGGGACACGCGCAACGACGCGTCGCGCCGCGCGCACTGGCGCCGCCGCCGGTGGCCCGCGCCGCCGTCGCGGCTCGTCGTCGTCGCTCGACGGCGCGTCGTCCGCGAACGCGCCGTCCGCGGCGGGGCTGTCCGTGAAGTAGCCGTCGTCCCAGACGTTGAGCATGGCCGCGCGGCCCGCCGCGTCGCCGCCGCCGCCGGGCGCGAGCCAGTACTCGCTCAGCGGCGTCTCGTCGTCGTCGTCGTCGTCCGCCGGCGGCGGCGGCGGCGATCCGGGCCGCGGCGGCGCCGCGGGGGGCCGGTCGCGCTTCCGCGGCGGGTGGGCGCCCCGGTTCGCGGCGACGTCGTCGCGCGTCCACCAGGAGTTGCCGCAGTAGGTGTAGCCCGCGTAGCACGCCGTCATCTTGCCCCGGATCCGCGCGGGCGGCTCGCCCTCGCCGCCGAGCGGGTGCGGCGGCAACGGCCCCCGGGCCTTCTTCGCCGGTACGACGAGCGGCGGCTTCCGGGGCCGCTTGCGCGGGAGGAAGAAGCTCAGCGGCTTGCCCGACGGCGCGTGGATGACGCGGTCCCACGTCTTCCGGCCCGCCTGCGTCGCGCGCGGCGCGCGGCGGCCGCCGGACGCGCGCGCGGCGGAGACGAAGGCGTCGACGTCGTCGAAGAAGGCGCCGCGGAAGGCGATGCGGCCGTCGGCCGTGAGCGCCGCGCGCGCGACGCCGTCGCCCGCGAGGTCCAAGGACAGCGGGCCCGGCGACAGCTTCGTCCGCGGGTCCGCCAGGATGTCCCGGAGCGACGCGCGCGCGCCGTCGTCGTCGCCGTCGCTCTCGGCGCCGTCGAAAACCGCCGGCGCCGGCGGCGGCGCGTCCGCGGCCGCCGCGCGGCGGCCCGCGAGGTACGCGCGCGACGCGGCGCCGAGGTAGTCGTCGCCCGTCTCGTCCTCCACCAGGCTCAGCGCCTCGAGGCGGCACACGCCCGCGTCGAAGTCGGGCCGCAGGCAGGCGAGGATCCGCTCCAGCGCCGCGGGCTCGCCCGCGTCGCGCGCGAGCGCCGCCGCGCGCGCGACGACGCCGCGGACGTCGTCGCCGTGCTTCGTCGACGCGGACTCGAGGCTCGCGAGGCAGTCGACCCAGTCGCGGGCGTCGGCGAGGGCCGCCTCGCCGGGCGCCGCGTCGAGCTCGCCGCCCGCGTGCAGCGAGATGAGCTGGCGCGCGTCGTCGACGGCGCGCCGGAGGCCCCGGGAGATCGGGTCGAGCCGGAGCTCGTCGAGCACGTCCTGCGCCGCGACCTGGTCCCAGCCCCGGATGCTCGGGCCCCGCTCGTCGAAGACCTGCAGGGTGTAGTTGACGAGGAAGCAGCCCACGACCTGCGAAGGCGCGGCGGCGTCGGCGCGCGCGGCCGCGGCGGCGGCGCGGCCGCGCGCCTGCTCGGGGCCGACGGGCGGCCGGTTCTCGAGGTCGATGGGCAGGTCCCACTCCTCGAGGACCTGCGCGGGCGGTTCGCCGTGCATGTTTGCCGCGCACGGGCGGCGCGCGCCGCGCCGCGGACGCCGGCTGCGGACCTCCCAGGACGAAAAGACGACGCACGGCCACCACGGCCGCCCGGCGATCTTCGCCCAGACGACGGAGCCCTGCTCCCAGAGCCGCTTCTCCGGCGCGGTCGCCATGCGTTTGCGGCAGCCGGCGTCTAGGGGATGAGAGGCTCTGCCATCGCGAGCATTCGGCCGCGCGCTTGATAAATCTTTTAATTTCGGCTATTCAAGTTCTGGCCGGGGGTGGCGGCGGGCCCCCGGTATTATTATTATTATTATGGGTGCTTTAACGTGGGACTAGGTCGGCGGCCCGTGGTACCGCGCGCCGGGTGGTGGCCTTTCGAGGGCGACGGTCCACGCGTGGGGCAGGCTCGGTGCGGGCTCGCCGAGGACGGGGTCGCCGGCGGCGGAGGGGGTGGGGGAGTCCGCCCGGCGGGAGCAGACCGGGTCGAATTCTGGCTCGCGCGCCGTAGGCGCGCACCGTCGCGGTGCGGGGCAGACTACGAGCAGTCCCTCCCGCCGGCGGGGCTCGTGCGGGGCCTCGCCGACGGGCCTGGGGTCGCGCTCCGACGCCGAGGGGCGATTGCGCGCGAGCGGATGTCGCGATTACCCCCGGCCAGCCAATTTGCATTACGTGCTTTGGCTCCGAGGTTGGGAGGAGAGCGCTGAAGGCGACGAGCACGACCACGACCCCGGTGCGTAGACGCCCCGCTCCCCGCCACCCCGCTCCCGACCCACCCGGGCGGCCGCGTGCGAAATTTCCGGCGAAAACGGCCGGGAACTCGGTCCGCCGCCCGCTTTGGCCCGGGAGGCAGTTCCTCGCAAATAAGCGCGAGTTCCGCCCCGCCCCCCTATCGACTGCCCCCCCCTGCTCGCGCCCCGACCCCCGGGGGTCCCCGCCACCGCCTCGCCCCCGCACCACTTCCCCCCCGCACCACTTCCCGACGAACGTCTCGAAACATCACCG